AATTTGTTAAAATTTAATTAATGAAGTTATTCGGATTCAAAATTTTAGATATGAATCATAAAAATAAAATCCAACGAATTATACCATCGGATTCGGACCAAACTTTTAAAATCAATTTAACTCAGGCAAAATCCGATCCGTTGACGAGCCCAGTAGAACTAAGCATAGCATGGACATTAAGTCGGGTTGGGCTTTCTGAGACCGTGATTCAAGCCCAGTCTAAGCAGTTTAGAACCCTCCTGAAGCCCCTCTCGTTCTATCCCCTCCCTCTATCTGAAAACTCTCCGACATGTCCGTCAAACTCTCGATGCATTCCTAGTTCAGTAGTTCCTCTCTCTCTCTCTCTCTACTTATGGGCTCCACTTCCACATTCTCTCTCTCTCCTCACTCAAAGGTAGTTCTTTCTCTCTCTCTCTCTCTCTCTCTATATATATATATATATATATATATATCGATCATATGTATTCATGGTTGTGTGTTTGTGGACTGAAATCTTGAGTTTTAATCTATTTCTTAGATTTTACGCCGAAGCCAATTGTGGACGCATGGAGTTTTGAGCAGCTCTTCGAGCTATTGTTCGCACAGTGTGCTGTTTCATAATACTGTGGTATACATCAGTAGGCAAAAATGTCCAAAATTCAGAAATCTGACCGTTGAAGCTGCTTCTTCTTCTGCGGGGGGTTCGAGGCGGAGGGTTTATAATCAGTCCGAACCTCAAGGTCCGGCCATTCCTGTGAAGGAGATTGTTTCTTTTGTGGTTCCAGCAGGCGCATTCGTCGTCGTTACTTTCGGTATGAGCGTATGTTATATGAATGCTTTAGTAAGTTCTAGTTTGTTCGATATGCATTGGGGCTTTTTTTTTCGGTTTCTGTTGTGGGAAGAGGTTGATAATAAAGTGCAAGAATTTGTTTGAATTTAACTAAGTTAATCGATTTTTTAATGATCTTAGCTTGAAAAGTGTTACTATATTCTGTACTTGTTTTTGCTACAGAAGAGGAATTCATTGCCGTTGTTTTGACGCCAATGTGGTTAAGAAAGAGTGAGTGAAGGATGTTAATGGAAATTTTCTAGTTGGTTGAGTTGTTGTAGCCATAAATTAGGCACTAATTCGTGAGTATTCTACAGTATGTGCATTTGCAATAGTTTTAGCTACGTGTTTAAGGAATTCATCAGCCTTGTTGGATGAGTTATATTCCTTTGTTGAGAGACCCATTTGGAAGATGTTTGAAATATGTTGAAGTCGTGAAAACCAAATAGGTTATACAAACCAATGCGGTCTGCATAGAGCAAATTAGCCATGTAATCCAAATAGGTTATGAGCCACCCAATTTGAAAAGATTTGCATTTGAATGTCTTTCATGGTGGTTTAAAGTTGATACTAGAATGAGAGTCATCAGGTTTAGAAATATATGAGTGAAGGCGTTGTTGAACTTGATATGAAAAGAGACCAAAACAATTGAACTTGAGAAGAAAGTAATATCTTGAATAAATTGATAGGTTTTTGGCTTTTCCTGCCTCATTTTCCAATAGCGAGTATTAGAATGAGATGAAAGAGATACAAGTAGCATTGATGGTAAAGTTTTTTAGAAATGGCTTTGTCACACAGATAATTGAGTGGTAGCTTGAACTTTTTAGTCTTTCAGTTTCTGTCCTTGTAACCAAATAAGTTAGACTTTAGACCAGTAGCTAGCTGCTCCATGGTTAGATAGCTTCCATGAACCATTCTGGAATTGCCAATGCTGATATTTGTTCATGTAACATCATATGCTTGCTCTTAGGGATGTGCTGCTTTGGTCTATGTCTTTTGTCCATCCAAAAGCCAATTGCTGTGGCTGCTATCATGGCATCTTGAGGGGTATGCATTTAGATGAAATCAATCCCAGAAATGCCTTACGTGAGCATGAAGACATCTGTGCTTTTCTCTTGCTCAAGCTGATGAAGTGAGGGGCTATGTGTGCCCTATGCAGGATGCTGAAGCCATCCCATTGGAAGTTGGGGTCATGAGGCCATGAGTCTTTCGTGGGGGTGTTTCAATCACATTCTTGTCTTTTGGACGGAGCGAGTAAATGATTGGACTAGATAAAATTTCATCAAAAGGAAAACAAAGAAGCTTTGGTTTTGAAGCCACTTGGTTGTGAATGACTTCCATTCTGAAGCATTCTGAAGAGTTCTCTTCCTTACCCTCTTAAGTATTCTTTTGCTTTGAGGACAGGAGTTGTATCTTTCTGGGGGGCTACTGTCACAAACTATGAAGCACGGACACTCTCGAGAACGTGACGTATCCATGTCAGATACTAACATTCTTCGGACACACTCAAACACTTGTCCGATACTCTTTTATCTGTGTCCATAATTAAATTATAAATTTTTACTTTCGGACACGTGTCAGACTCTTCTTTAGAACGTGTCTACTACTAAACAATAGAAATTTGTTGAAATGTGAGTAACAAAACTTTAAAATTTGAGAACATATAATTATTAATACTAGATATATTAAAGTTGTACTCTAAATATAATAATAAAAATAAAAGATGCATAAAAATTTTAAAAAAGAGTAATTGAGAAAATGAGAGCAATTATTTAAATTATATATTAGGAACACATTGTCTACAAAAAAAATTTGATGATTATTGACTATAATGATGATCTTTTAATCTAAAAATTCACACAGATAACTAGACATTAGGTTTTCTTATCATAAAATACTGATTTTTTTATGAATGGTATATCATTATTACCATATTTGCAATAAATAATATAATGTTGTATATAAAATATAATTTTTTAGTAGCGTATCCCCAACGTGTCTGTGTCCCACTTTTTTGAGAAATGTTGTATCGACGTGTCTGTGTCGTGTCGTGTCGTATCCGTGTCCTGTGTCCGTGTGCATGCTTCATAGGTCACAAATGTATCGCTTTCTTTTTGTCCAAAAATGCATTTTGCCCCCTTAAGCTTGCTGTTTTTTTTTTCTTTTTTTGTTTTGGGAGGGGGGTGGGGTGGGGGGGTTATGAAAGCATGATGCTTCGCAAGAACTTCATCATGAACCCAGTTAAATATTCTGTTCTGTCTTGCTGAAAGTATTGTGACTGCAATTGTCATGCATGCATTGCAAGCTCAAGTTATTTCAGGGAAAAAATAGAAGATCATAAAGTTGATATATTCTCAATTGGTGACTAATTTGTTTCTTCAGCTGACAGTTTTGTGGAAACTGGTGGAGAAAGTCCTTGCAAAACCAACGAGGCCTTCGTCAGCGGAAAACCCATCTTCTCAAGGAATGAAATGGTCCATCGCACCAGGAACAAATTTGTTACCTGGGTTTGGTGCAAAAGTTGAAAGAGAGTCCAAGCAGAGGCTCAATGAATTTGCCAAACAACTTCGGTCATTCAGAAGCATTGACATGTCAGGTAATGGAGAAGGCAATTAGATATGATATGCTCTAGTAATCATATGTGCTTATGGCCCTTTCCTTCTGTTCTTTTCTTTTTATCTCCTCGTGGACTGTGGACAACATGATGAAGTATCAATCGCTTTTGGCTGCATTATGCTTCAGCGGTTACAAATTCAGATCTTGTGACAGAGAATTGGTTTGATTATAAAGGCTTTTTTCAGGTTGTAATTTTGGAGACGATGGACTATTTTTTCTCGCTGAGAGCTTAGCATACAATCAGGTTACTAATTCTTCTGTTATTTATGTTTCTCTACTGCATATCTATTATTTGGGTTGTTGCTAGTGGTGTAGTTTTGTTATAGTAAAGGCATTCTATCTACTGCTTACAGAGTAAGAGAGAAAATATTTAAGTCATGTTCAAATGCAATAGGAGATAAAAGTATAGTGGTCAATAACAATCACACTTCAATTGTTCTCTTTTTCTCACTAAATAGAAAGTGTATAAAGTACAAAGATGGGGGATAAGAAATCCACCCAATAATTGACCTCTATACTCTTATTGACCTTTATACTATTTGTTTTCTTTACTAATTTGAGCATCTGTTTCCATGATGTTTTTCAGATTGCGGAAGAAGTGAACTTTGCTGCCAATGGAATAACTGCCGATGGTTTGAAAGCCTTTGATGGTGTTCTGCAATCAAACATCGTACTAAATACTCTTAACCTGTCAGGAAATGCCATTGGAGACGAAGGAGCCAAGGTAAGCTCTGTTGCACAGTTAGTTAAAAATGTAATCACTGTCAGTAAAATATTTACATTTAGACATTTTGCGGGAGTGAATACATAAAACATATGAACAAGTATTCAAAAGCTGTGATGTTCTAACCTTGAGGTGTGGGTTAAATTTCAAAGTTCTCTGTAATGGTTTCTGAGTTGATTTTTCTTGATACTTAGCAATTACAAGGATTTATGTGTTGTCAACCATGGAATTCAGGTTGGCATTATGTTTGCAGATATAGATATAAACTTGTGGTGGGTGGTCTGAACCTTAAGTGGCTCTTCACAAAGGGTCTTTCTCCTTATTCTCCATAGATGTTTACATTGTAAAGCAATTAATGTTGGTTCCACCATTCTCAACATGGCATGTAATGTTCTCAGATTTAGACTTGGATCAGTTTATTTCTATTCTTCAGTCCAAATTTCCAAATTGGATTGCATCAGTGGGGCAGATCTGACTTAATACTCTTTTCAATTTAGTAATTAAGCCATACATATAACGTAATTGTTAGCACCATCCAATTTACTTTTAATGAAAGGTGCTTCTTGTGGTTTTGCGTGAGCTAAAATGACTTCATTCCAATCACTGGGTTCTGGGCTTATATTTGTCTTTTATTTATCATTCGGACATGTATATAATACTACACTTTCTTCTTTCTCAGCGCCTATGTGATATACTGGTGGATAATGCTGGTATTCAAAAACTACAGCTAAATAGTATTGGATTGGGAGATGAGGTTAGCTTAACTTTTTCCTTTACTAGGATCCTGCTGTTAGGGGCATTTTTAATAAAATGTAATTATTAATTATGGGCCCTCTGTAGTGACATGCCTAAAGCTTTTGTTCACTTTTCTGACAGGGAGCAAAGGCCATAGCTGAGATGTTGAAGAAAAATTCAAGCATACGTGTTCTTGAACTTAACAACAATTTGATTGACTATTCTGTATGAGTTGAAATTAGTAGTTCAGATATCCATTCTTCCAACTCCTCTCAAAAGGAATGAAATTAAAACTAATTCTGTTTTGCCTTTTATTTTGGAAATGGAGGTAGGGATTTTCAGGTCTTGCTGGAGCACTTCTTGAGAATAAAACTGTACAAACCTTATATCTCAAGTGAGTAAAGTTCTTGCAGTTATCTTCTTGCCTCCCATGCAACAGCAATACAATCTCTGGATTATATCTGCACGAGTAATAATGTGCATAGCCACACTTCATTGCATATTTATTGTTCTTTAAACAGAAAACTATTTTTTATCAGCTTGTTAACCTTTCCTTTGGAACTTATGTTATGCTTTTGTTACCACTTAAGTGGCAATTATGGTGGTGCATTGGGGGCGGCTGGTCTGGCTAAAGGGCTTGAGGGGAACAAATCTTTGAGGGTACGAGCTCATTTACCTCCCTTTTTTCTACTTTACAGCTTAGATTATAGTTCTACTATCATGTGGACACATCAGATCATGTATAATCTGTGCTGGAGGTTTATGCTAATTAATTTTGCAAATCTGACATCAGTGAAGTCGTATAAATGAGATAGTTATGTACTAATACACTAGAAACCTGAGGCGTCAGCATTAACTGATGAACTATATCAATGAAATCATATATTATGCCTGCTACCTTGTTAGACCACCAACTTCTCTAAATTCTTTACCCGGTAGAGAAGATATTTCATAAGTATTTATATATTTTAATATGCTCCCTTATGTGAAAGTTAGATCATAGGCCAACCACATGCAAGTAATTTAATTAGCTGGGGGTATTGTTAATTGTCGGTGCTCGTCCAAAGTTGCAACAAAAATCTTTGAAATGTTTTAAAGTTTATGAGTGCCTGTAAGCAAATGAATACTTAGGGTGCATTTGGTAACGTTTTCATTTTCATGTTTTGAAAAAAAAAAAACAGGATTAGTTTTTGTTTTAAAGTTGAAACAAAAAACATATTTGGTAATCATTTTATTTTCTATCATATATTTTACCTTTATATTAATTCTTGGCAAAACACATCCATGTTATTTATGTCAATACATCCATCAACCCATAAAATAGGGCGCAATGCATCAACCCAAAATAAGAGATGTTATTAAACATTCAAAATATCAATACGTCAACCCATTGTTAATAATCTACCAAGTACCAGACTACACCATAATTATTTCATTAAAATCCCAATAATTAGTACAAATACCAAGAACAGTAATGCACAACACATGATGAAATTGCTCTAAGTTGCACTATGATTTTGTTTCAGGCATCCTTTTCAAACGTAGATGTGTCTTTAGGCCGATTTGCTAATTCTAAATCCATCAGTTTAATAAAAACTGCCTCTTTTTTAGACGTCCATGGGCCGTCTGCTTTTTTAGTACCAACCTCAACAACGTCGTCATCCTTATGTATATTAACTTCAACAACATTTTCCATCTACACACCAATTTCCAACAACTACTCAAAAAATTTAAACATTCAAACTTATAACATCCTCTCAAATCCCAACTAGTTACATAAAACATAAAACCAAAAACAATAAAACAATAAAATTGCTTATTCACAATTCATACATCATAATTCATAATTCAATTCAAATGCATAAAGTAAGAAAGATAAAAAAAAAAAAAAAATCTCATATACCGATAACTTGTCCATTTTTCAACTCCAAGTACAAATTGAAACCAAAATACATTGCCTAATGCATGTCGGATGTGGTAAAGAAAGATCCCATTAATTTGAAACATGCCTTACCCGATTTGAGGGAGATATCTATTACAACCTTCAATAGTTTCTAATATTCTAACATAAACATCTGCACTAGTTTGATATAGTTTCTAATATTCTAACACAAACATCCCCTTGATTTGAAACATGCCTTACTCGAATTCATTTTTGTACCAAAAGATGAGCAAGCAAATGAATTTTTGGAAATTGGAGAGATTCTCAACTAATAACTCTTCAACTAATAGTTCTCTCTCAACTAATAACTCTTCAAATGAATTTTTCTTAGTGATATTCATATTACCAATTAGCTATAGTGCGTATATATTCTCTCGCCATTGTTTGTGCAATGAACCTGATCATAGACATGGAAAAAAACATAAAACTAAAGAGACAAAGCTGATTTCATACCACATTCCTTATTTGCGGGAAAAAAAAAATCATGCAAAAATCTCTCTACAGAATCTCTCTAATTTATAAGTTCTCTATGCACTTCTAACTCCAAATTTGTATATAAATAACTCTATACAAATCTAACTTAGATCTATACACACACACACATAAATAACTCTATACAAATCTAACTTAGATCTACACACACACACATAAATAACTCCAAATCTATAAATATCTAAGTTATATATGTATACTTCTAACAAATCTAACTCAGATGTAACTCAAATCTAACCATGAGATTGGCGAGAGATTGACAGAAAGAGGCAGCAGAAAGATGCAGTCTTCATTGCACAGACAGAGGTGAGAGACAGCTGTGGGTCTTCGTTGCACAGACAGAGAGGCGATGGAGAAAGGCAAAGCGATGGAGAAAATGGGTTTTGTTCTCTGAGAGGCGATGGAGAAAATGAGTTTCATTCTTTGGTTATATATGTCTACATTCCTTATCTGTTGGAAAAAAATCATGCAAAAATCTCTCTAATTTATAAATAACTCTCTATACACATCTAACTCCAAATTTGTATATAAACAACTCTCTATACAAATCTAACTTAGATCTACACACATACACACACACAAAAATAACTCTAAATCTATACATATCTAAAGTATATATACATACTTATAACAAATCTAACTCAGATCTAACTCAAATCTAACCGTGCGATAGGGAAGAGATTGACAGAGAAAGACACATTGGGGTCTTTGTTGCACAAACAGAGGCGACAGAGAGATGCGGTCTTCATTGCACAAACAGAGTTGAGACATTTGTGGGTCTTCGTTGCACAGATAGAGAGGCGATGGAGAGAGGCAAGATGATGGAGAAATGGGTTTCGATCTCTGAGAGGTGATGAAGAAAATGAGTTTCGTTCTTTGGATGTATATATATATATATATATATATATAAATTAGGATACATGCGGAATTTAGAGGAATAAAGAAGAATATGGAACAGATATGAAAAATATGCAAAATATTCAATTTAAGAAAATAAACACTTACAACACTAGAACTAAAGGTCTAGTGGAAATAAGCGGTGATAGTTGCAGCAGACATAGATGTGTATGCTACAGGGTTGGAGTCAGCTCTTCTTTATAAGTGAAGAAGGCTTTTTACAGAGAGGGTAGGATTACAAGAACTAAAGGGCTTGTATCTTCTTCTCTGAAGACTTGAGTTTTGGAGCAGAGGAGGCTGCCTTATATAGAGGTAAGGGGCTTCCGGACTTCAAACTGAGTCTTCAATTTGATTGAAAGTCTCTTTCATCACTTTCGGCTACTTTTGGCTGGAAAGTAAGATAAGATTCTTTCACTTGGGTAAAAGGACAGGCAGAGTGGACTAGGGGTCCTGACTGTCTGAAGAATATCTGCTTTCGGTGGAAAGTAGATATGTGGGTCCTGTTTTTGTCTGTGAGAATCCTGCTTTTAGGGAAAGGGGATCCTATGCAGACATGTGATATTATCTTTACACAGAGTGGTCAGCTTTTCTTTCTTTACTGAAGAAAGTAGTGATTGAAGCCACTTTATGTAAATAATAATTCACGGGTGTGCAAGGTCAGGTGTGAGGTCATCCACATCAAAGTCTTCTATTCCTTCAAAAGGATCCTGAGCATATCCTGCTGGGAGTTCTGAGGAGGAACTTTGAGAAGATGATTCACTGTCTGAGTCAAGTTGTTCAAGGAGCTTCTGGAGGAGCTTTGCCTTGGACTTCTTCTTGCTGGACTTCTTCTGAGAACCTTTAGATGAAGATTCTTCCGGAAGGACTTGTCTTGTAGGAAGGTTAGCCTGGCTTGAATGAGCGGGCAGTTCCTTCACTGGAGTTGCTGGTTGTAAGGGACCTGGAACTACTGCTGGAGTCGGTACCCTTACAGGGAAGTCTCGTCTCACCATTGCGATAGTGTCGCTATGCTGAAACCTGGGCCACCATTTGGCATAGAATTGTCGGGTCAAGTTGAATCCAACAATTTCCCATTGCCATTTGAGAATCCACGGGACTTTGTACCTGCATAAAAATATTAGTAATAAAGGTAATGGAGACTCCTGTTTACTAGGACGGTAAAGGGAGTAAAAGATATTAATCTGATCCTTAAGATCAGCTGGAAAGATTTCATCAATGGGGCCATGTAGATGCCACCACTGTGTAAACCATGCAGGAATATGGCTTCTGAAATCTCTATGGAAATTAAGGAACCAGGAATGGGACAAATCCTCATTCTGGTAGAGTAATATTTTAGACCATGACTCAATGTAGTCATAGTAATTAAACTGTCTACTGTGGTAGGGAAGTTCTCTGAGTAAAGAAGGGTGAGAACCCCATTCCTCAATAGAAATGATTTTAGTAATATACAAGCTATGATAGATAACCTTGTTTGGGTTTGTCTTATCATAAATGGGCTTGGTAAATATGGATTTTGTATAGTAGAGAATATCTTGGTAAAAACTATGGGGTTTTTCCAAGTCTACTGGGATGTAATTCCAACCTGTTGGGAGGTAGGCTTGTACAAGGTCTATTGGATCCTTGTATTTGGAATGGGCTAGTTCAATGGCTAGGACATTCTCAGAATAGGCTTTGACATAGTCAACTTTTGGGCCTAAGTGGGCTACAAAAGGTTGTGAGGCCTGATAGGGGTTTGTCATGGCACTAGTGGTCCTGACAGGTTGCTGTTGGGCCATTTGGGTGAAGGTTAATGGGTTAACCTTGGTTGATGTGGCTACTGGTCGAATAACCAGGGCCGATTGGGTACTAGCTGAGTCCATTCTGGCTATTTCATTGGCCATTATTTGACTCAATTTAGGTT